TGGTTTTGTTTAAAAAACATGAATAATGGACAAAATACCATCTTCTCACGTGTACTTTTAGTGCAGAATTTGGAGTAGGGAGAAGGATTCCAGATTGCTTTCAGAACATTAGTAAAAGGTTTTTACACTTTGCTTTCTAAAAGGAACCAAACCACATTAAAACTGGTTTGACGCCCCGTATGAACTGTGCATTTAGACATCACTTGGTAATCTACCATTACGCCCAAAGTCTTGCCCCAAAGAAAAAGATCTGAAAAAGCACTAATACTAAACCCCATTATTTTGTCCTTTAGGGACAAATCTGACACTGGTATGTAGGCGCTGCCAGGAGCCCACTTAACCGGTTTGAAATCCGAACAAATCAAATTCCAGCACCCTGGCCTTGTCCCTCAGCTGACAAGACACCTACCCTCTCCCACGGCGACCCTGCCGGAACAGTACGCGCTCGCTGCCGAGTAACTGCGAGAGGCCCCAGGAACAGCCAAGGCACCCTGCTGATACTCCAGAAAACAAAATTCACTGCCCTTTCTGGGCCAGGGATTGAACTGTATGGTGTGGTACAGGCGGGCTCTGACGACACGGGCACTAGCCATCAGCCTCTCCTCAGCCGGCTCGGTTTTCATCTACTGTCTCGTTCCAAGATGCTGCGACAGTGTGACGCTGGGCCTCTTCCGAGCTTTCCACACCAAGGTCCTTGGCGGGAGGGGAGGGCTTATTTATTTTTGAACTAAATGAATCTCCTTTAACTTTGGATAGAGCAGACTTCAAGCAGCAGGTTCACTGTAACCGAAGTAGGTACCCTTCAATTCCTAGCTCTGAACTGACCCCAGGTATTTTGGGGAACGCTCCCTGCCCTCCTGCGCAGAAGTTTACCAGCTCCGAACTACCGACCTGGAGCAACAGCCGCACACAGAACGAGGGCACCAGAAGTAAACCCGAGCCACTGCTCTAGTTACAAAGCACCTGGTTTACATTCCGTTGTACTCCTTAAGGTGGCGAAGGCACATGATCGTTTGGCAAAGACTGCTCGGGGGGATCCCTGTGTAAACCATTTAACAGAGGGGGTTATCTTAAGAAAAGATACACGCCAGTTTTCACCTGAATTTGCTCCTGGTGTACTCTATATTCTGCTGTTTTTAAAAGTTTCCTCCCTCTGCAGTTTCGGAGTTGTCAGGGTGCTGATTTAGCAGCTTCTGCGTTAGCGTCCTTGACCTTACACGCTCTGCCCTTCTGCTGATTTTATTCCGTAGGCAAGAAGCCACGAAGAAAGGTACGTAGAACGCATGCCAAAACAAATACGAAGCGCAGAGGCGTGCCAGCAAGGCCGCAGTAAACAGAAAGTCCGTTTCATCACCTTCCGCGCGGAACAGAAAACCCGCGCGCCCGGCACCCCCCCGCCCGCTCCTCCAGCTGCTTCGTAACCCAACCGACTGCCCCTAGGAGCTCTGCCTGTCGCACCGTGCTACGGGCGGTGCTGTCTCCAACAGACAGAAGACACCGTGTCTACAGTACTACGAATAGTTTGTGCTACACGTGCTGCACTCACAGTCAAGGAGTGAATGAAATCCATAGGCTGCTCAAGTGTGAAACGTCCACGTGCTGCTTCCCTAAATTTAGTCCCTCTGGCTTTCAAAACTTCAACTAGTACTTGTTTGGGAGGTTTCTGGGGATCTGGCTTCCACAGATGTTCCGTAAAACGCAGGACGCATTTGCGCCTCCAGGCAGACACAGAAGCAAACCTATTTATGCGTGAACTTCAGCGTATTCCCGCCCCCCACCCCGATCTGGGCATGTGTGGAAAGATGTGGTACTAAGCAACAGTCAGCATTTCACTCGTTTTATGTCATAAAGACCAAATTCTGCCCCTAAAGAGCACATATGAACGCAAGTGATGTTGAGAGGCCACGATGACAGTATTTGGACTCAAACATTCTGCATCATCATCAGCTGCTAGAGCATTCAAGTATGAGAACAGATGATTTTAGATAAGCGTAAAAAGCAGAAGTGGGTGCATTTAATGACCTGCCTGAGTTCAGCAAAAAAGAAATGACTGGGTTAATTGCATCTGGGGCCATGCAGGCCTCACTTCACACGGAAGTTACTTTCCAAGTAACCAGGCCCCTGCACTCATATCATTCCGTTTAAGCTCCACTGCTGTGTTCCAGTTCCAGCAGATACGCCGCAGGAAACAATCACATACTGACAGGGAAGATGTAACAGATAACAGGCCTCTTCTAACCCTATGGAAAAGGGAAGGCGGAGGGGAAGGTGCACGTGTGGTTAATAAAGACACTCCTAGTCGGGACTGGGTACGAGTAGTTGTGGAAATAGAGCTAAAAGCAGTATGGCTGTCCAGATGTTTGTCCCAACACGTGCACAGGGTGTGTACGAACGTTTCCATCCTACGGCATGTGCTGGGACACCACAGAGAAGCTTAAGAAACTGGGTGTGGTGGACATGACTGTTACAGGGCATTTCCATGTATGTCCTTCATCCCACCGCTACGCGGGACACTCCATGCTTGTCCACTCCTACCGCCCCATTCTCTCAGCACGCGCAGGGCGCCTCCAGGGCTGATTCTGACGGCACGCAAGACACCCAGAAAAACTGAAGAAAAAATTCAATTAAAAAAAAAAATCCCAACTATTTACAAACCAAATTTCTTCCAAAGTTTTGCATGAGTATGACATGCGGCCTCCTACAGAGAAACACCCGTTACTACAGCTATCTGGGGGAAACCAGTGGAAATGTATCCTGAAAGGACTCCTCTAAACAGCAGCCAAACAACTTACACATTCCTCAGGGGGAAAAAAACCCAAAACAGAAAAACAAAACTACAAACAAACAAACCCCAATAAAAAAACCCCAAAGATCATGTGTTACTTATAAAGTGCTTTGCACGGACAAGGATAGCAGTTTTCCTTGTGCTTTTGCTATGGGCTCAAGAAGCATCCTGTAGACTAATGGGTAATGAATCTTCACAAAAATAAGTTCATTTTAAGCAAAGACAGAATGAAATTCCTAACAGTTACATTTCAGCAGACAATCTTCTGCCAAGCGTGACCTCGAGGAAGGGAACTACAGCTTTTAACAAGCTCTGTGAAACCAATGACTGTTGAACCACCTGCACATACTTGCTCCAGTAACAGTTTCTTTCGAGAGAATATTAATTTCCAGTACGCCCAAGGTGTACAAATCAGGCCTCAGGCCACAGCCCACGCAGGGGCGGAAGGAGACCGAGCAGCACCTGCTGCACCTTGGGGTGAATGCTGTAAACGCGCTCACCCGCCTGCCGACCCCTCTGGCCCCAGGCTCCCTTCCCCTCTTAGGCACCAGCCACAGACCATCACCAGGGAGCAGGCCGACTGCGCCCCACCGCCTGCTCGTTAGCTTCTCCACACTGGAAAAGTGGCTATTGCTACTATTTAAATTCCTGCCAATCTCAATAAGGAAAAAAAATGACCTTACAGCATCTGAAGACCCACAGCAGACAAGAGAAAAATTGTGCTTTCTTTTTTGTTTTGTTTTTTTTTTTTTTAAATGCATCCTGTACATAAAATCAATTCTATCCATGTACCAACATGAATCACTTCATTCTTGTAGTGACTATTAAGTCATTCGCTATTGCTGTCTTGCTAATGTTTGTGGAATAAATATGAATACACAGTATTTCAGTTATAATTCCCACTTCAGATTGGTCCGGTCCCTATAACCCCAGTAAATGTTTACTGACAACGTAACAGACTGCCAGCCGCACCGCAGAACCCCAGGGTTGTAAAAGCACGTTCCATGACTGATGTGCACTTCCCCCTTCACCTGGGAGCAGCCTTCTGCAGGCAGGAACTGTCCCACTCTCCTAGGGAGGGAAAGACAGCGTCCTCCTCGCCCAACACACCCACCACATTCACACACATCCGACTCCTTCATTTATTCGTTGTGATTTTGTAACACCCCCCATGCCTCCCCCACAAGCAAGAACCTCCTGGCTAGAGGAGGGGGTCGGTTCTCCTGCCTCACCCGGGGTGTCACAGGGCGGATACGCATCAAATTCTCAAAGTTCCTGTCTGAGCTTGAATGTCTTTCTCCTGTGGTCTGACTTGCCTCTGTACACATGATTTACACCCAATTCCACACACCGGAGAGCTCCGCAAACAGATCACGTCACAAGATATTCTACCAGAGGTAATCGGTGTGCAGAACTTTCTGAGTTGGCTTTTTCCCCGACTGGGTAACTCGTCAGAAAGCTACCGACCGTTTGAAAACCAGGATGGGAGGACAGGAAAACCGAGCGCTCTAACGGAGACACCGCCACCTTCATCCTAGTTTGCAAAGCGTACGAAAGGGAAAGACAAACGGAAGGGAAGAGATGACGGAAGAAAGCAGTGAGAGGAGAAGTAGTCAGCGTGGATCCAGCAAGTACCGTATTTTTTTTGATTTAGCAACTTGCCATTAGGACAAGATGCTCCGCATTTACACGCACACTTATCAGAGGACGTTTAGTTGACAGGATAAAAGTCCTTTAAAAAAAGCTCTTCAAAGTACCAAAACATAATTTTCGGAATGTCTAATTCTAGGGGGGGTTTTGTATTTGTATTCAATTCAACCTGAGAACTTTTTTCCCCGTTTATGAAAACATTACATGTTGGTAAGGTACCTGGCGTTAACCTGCACCCTCATTTAAAATAAAACTTTTAAAGTAGGTACATACACCATTCACAGTCTGTATCAGGAATTCTACAGACTTCAGATGCCGTGGTGGCATCTTTGATAAATACACTGTATCATATGATACCAAAGAAAAAAAAAAAAGTAAGAGAGAGGACAATCTTGCTACATTTTTTGTGTTTGATTTTAAACTTCAGTTTGTTGCTGGACCAACAAAAGAAGGATCTACCTTATCCTTCCCAAAGACGTCGTATATGCACACACCAAGAAAATACCAGAAAAGGAAAAAAGGTTAAGGTCGGTGGTTGCTGTTTGTTTTTTTGAAGAAGTGATAAAGTAAATCTGAAAAAAGGTGCAGCAGCATCCCCTTTTCCTTCAGATTAACCTCTTCGCCTTTAGAATAACAACTTCTCCAGCTCCCATCGCCCCACAATTTCAATTTTTCTGGAATAAACCCCAGTAATATAGACAGATTTAGCTGTTTGACCTTGTAATACGGTGAAAAGGGGATACTGCGTTGTCCACAAACCAGTGAGTACACCAGGAAAAAACAGACCAGAACGGAGGATGATTCTTGTAAATTAGCACTCATCAGATATTCAGCCTCTGATGGTACGTTGTTAGAGGGAGAAAGCCGACCGGCAGACCATCCAAAGCAAGTCTCCTAAGTTGCAGCAGCAGATCCATCCCCTCATGCCCGAGCACCACAGTCAGACCGCCAGGGCCCTCTCCTCTCTCCTGGGAATGATGCCAACGGCACAGGCAGCCACTGCGGGTCTCCGAATGCACATGGTGGTTTGTGTTGAAGGAGAAACACTGGCAGCAGAGGATTCTGGTTCCCAAAAAGGTACTTTTTCCCATTGTGTTGGACTGGCAGTTTCATTCTGCTCCACTTTTAAGCTTATGGATATCTTTTCTTAATTACTTTTAGGTTTTGCGGAGCAGAACAGAGTTCTGATGTTAAGAAACTGTAGGAACACAAGACTTAAATAACAGAGTGGGTGCTGCCATGGTGCTGTGGCTACTTGAACGCTGCAAATTCTCCTGTAGAGGGAGGACAAGAGCTTGGTTTAAATACAGGTGATTTCAGTTACTGGCTGCTCAGAGATTTTCTCCAGGCTAGTCAAACATTAGGCTGAACATAAAAGGTGTTAAAAAATACACACTGTTAAAATTGAAGCACAAAAGAATACATAGCGAAAGAACACTGAATCCAGACCCAGCCAATTTTACCAAAAGAGAATTTCTTGAAAGCAAGCTGTACCCCATTCTCCCCAGGACAGAGGTCCAGAAGTCCAAGCAAAGTCTAGTTCATCGTGCATTTGAAAATAGAAACGTGCCAGTTCAATTTCACTTTAAACGCCCTATTGCAGATGCATCCTCCTGAAAAGCAACAACTGCAACAAATGCGGCAGACTGCAAACTAATTTCTGTTCTGCTGTAAAACTGGTTTAATAACAAAGAGCTACTTCATACACCCATTAACCTTTAAAGACTATATAAAGTGCCTTAATATTAAACCAGTATTACAGACGGCTAGAGTCTGATTTAGACACCAACATAGCCACCTGCTGTGAGAAAAGTAAGAAGAGTGAGATTATCTACTCACTCCCATACCAGAAATTAGGCCTCGCTAATAGGCAGCGCAACAAATAAAGCAGCCCCATCCTTTCTTCAAAATTACTGAATAAACCGTAATTCCTCTGCAGCGCTTTCACGTGCAATGACCTCCTGAAATTCTGTGCCGCCACACAGACTGGCAGTCTCATTTTGGAGATGATGAAATGAAGGCAGAGAGTAAAATCACTGCCCAGAGTCTTAACAAGTCTGCGAGAGAACTGAATAGAAGCCCAAACTAAGATAATCATCCTCTTAATCTTATGCTTTAACAAAAAAATTTTGCTGCCACCCACAGAGAAATTGTGTTCTATAGGATTTTTAGGGAGGGTTGTCCAACTACGTTTAACCAAAAGGACTCGGGAGCAAAAGAAACGTACATACAACTTCCTGTTGTTGGGCTCTGCAAGAATGTCAAGCTAGAGAGCACTCCTCAGGGCTCTCTACGAATGAAGGACTGATTAGCAGGCAGAAGGGACCTTTTGTTCTGCTCAACAGACACATGTGAATACCACTGTGTCCAAACAACTGCTCCCTATCTTGGTGTCCTTCCATCCTTTCAAGAGCAAGCGTTCTGTTGGTTTTGATTTTTCTTAAGATTCTTATTCTGAATAAACAAACCAGAAATATGCCTGCAAATGTAATTTTAGACTGATTGCATTAAGTCCATGCAATGTCTTGCTCTATAAATAGGGGAACCAAGAAAATGATCAGGAGTCTGCATGGGGAGGGGGAAGAAAGGGCATCTAGAGGGCGTGGTAGCAAGAGCTGATACGGCTGATCTAAGGGAACAAGAAGAAAGCAGGGAGAGTGGAGATCACTGCAGTGTCCCAAGTCTCACAGGGAGAGAGGGCTCTGTGTGTCACAGGAAAAGAGAAGGGAGCCCACCCAAGGTCTGCAGTAAGGCTAGCTGGCACAGGGCTGTGACAGACCTCAAGCTCTATGTGCCTTGATAGGCTGTCATGGTAGTTTGAAGTTATAGCAACAAAAGAATGGAAGCCCCACAAAGGGTTTAATCGCCTGTTTTACTAGTTCTACCAACAGAAAAAACCTTGCTCTAAAATATCCTGAATATGAGATAGTTTTCCTTGTTTCTCTTTGGCACGTCACTAATCTTCCAACTGTCTTCACAGCATCTTCTAGAAACACCTCAATTTTTGTACTCCCCCCCACCCCCTTTTTTCTTTTCTTTTAAGAAAAGGACAAAAAAGTCATCAAGTATTGCCTGTGAGGCTAATTTTTAAGAATGACATTCACGCTTAGCTACGCTTTCAAAACATGCTCTACTTAATTTATTTTTCAGTCTGCTTTCCTAAACTGCTGATTAAAGATCAATTTATAAACAAGAGATTGCTCCCTCATTACTCATCTTGTCCTTCTGCCCATTTCTGGTAATAATTCAGCTTTTAATAGTCGTACAGGGATTTCAGAAGATAAAAGATGAACCATTAATTGGGAAAGGGCAATGGAAAAACAGGTTCAGAAGTCAAGAAGCATTTCAGAGAGAATGGTAGCTATAAAATGGTGATTTTCAGACTTTTATGTCATTTATGTAAAACCTTAGCAAAGACATTTGCTTTGACAAGCCAGTGCTAAATCTCCCCTTTCAAAACTCAGGTACTAACCTGATCTCAAATCAATAGGAGACCAAAATAGTGAACAGGTTCATCTAATAAGGGGATTATGTTGATTGAACATGTATAAAACGTGGTTACCAGTCACAGCTTTTCCAAGCTGAGGAATGTAAATGGCTATACTTATCCACGTGCAGGAGTCCTCCATCCTGCTAAGTGTCAACAGGACCTTCTGGTTAGCTAAAACGCTCTATGTGACCTTTTCTACTCTGAGGATGTCTATACACCTAACTGAGCGGAACAGACTTGTGGAACTGGAGGGCATCTGCCAGTGCAAGGGCAAGGAGCTGGGCCTTGGCTGCTCCAAATGAGATCAGCTTACCATGAAGCTATGAAACCACATACTTAGCGATTTGGGATGTGTAAAGAACAACAGACATTTTTATTCATTGTGAGCCAGGCATTTGATTTGCTTTTTACCAAGCAGAACTTCAAATACTCGCTTTGACTGGTAACAAAGAAACTCCTTTCCAAAGGATCTGAAAACCAGAGCCCTTTTGAGTTAGTTGCTACAGTCTTTTCACGCTCGTCACGTGCCAAGCAAGTGGAAACCACTTGTGTGAAATGCACACTTCCAAAACATCTGTACTAAAAAGATGAACAAGTTCTTTCACGTTGTGTCCAAACAACCTATTATAAGGGCATGTTCTCAGCGAACCTGCTGTCCATGATCCCTGGAAGGACTTAAAATGGAGTTACCAATCTCTGCTCTCACAAATGTGTAAGTTATCTGGATTCGTGAGATTACTAAGATGTATTCCTAACATCTTAATTGTATTCCTTACCCTGGGGTAGATGCCATGTTTGTCAGAAGAATCATAAGGAGAAGAATGGTTCCCTTTCAGGCTCATGCCACCCTTGTCTACTGCAGTAGGCAGTAACTGACTTAAAGGGAAACACCAGATTCCAACACCTTGCCTGGATTACATTCACAGACACAGAAAAAAGCATGACAAAGAGGCAGTTTTCTGTTGGCTCTTGTGCTGATCTTCTAGTACAGATATCATCCACTGGCTAAATAAATATTTGGAACATACGCTGGTATGGATAATTGGTATTCTCAAAAGAATATACAGTAGCACGCATGAGGATCTGGTCCTTCTAGAAGGTACCAAGACAGATTTTGTTTCTGTACTGAGATGCAAGGAAACAATGAAAAAACTAATCTCACATAGTGTAAAGTATCCCTCCACAAAAGCCTGGGTTCCTACAGACCCGTGTTCAGGACTTACAGGTGTCTGTTCCTAAACAATCTGAGTTGCATCTTTGAGAACACTGACCCAAATCCACAGGCATCTTCCTGTGGATCTGTTCCCAGATCACAGTGAAGCAGCATTTATAAACTACACAAGTTAAGCCCCTAAATGCCTTTATGTCTGATAAAGTTAATGAGCCACAAAACCCAGTCTCCTTTTCTGCTTCATAACATGTTCAGCGAGAAGCTAAGATGACGTTATGGCCGTGGATCCCAAACCGTGCTCGACGTGCAAGAGCAGGTGACAGGAAAAATTCTAACGCAGCGGCCATACAGCAGGGAATGGGGCCAAATGTGCCCAAGGGTGGCAGCATTTTTCCCCCTGTAACCCTAGTTCCTATAGCACAGAAGAACAATCTTAACAACAAGGAGGGTAACACTACCCCAAGGAATAACTTGTTTGAACTGACCTGCAGAAGAGTAAGCCCGGACAGGGTAGTGATGATGGTTCTCTACCCTGTAACTCCCGGTGTGCTTAAGCCTTTCCCGTCAGGGAGGACACATTTCTAGATTCTGCAGGAGACCCAGCAGCAGCACCCTCTTGCTCTCACTGAAATGAGCACTGTAGTCTGCACTGAATACCATATCCCAAAGCTTAACTGGCACTCCACCTCACTGTTTGCAATTTAAATGAGTAAGAGGGGGAAAAACACACTTAAATCCTGTTCTCATTTTAAGATAAGCCTGCCAAAATGAGGTGAAGCTACCAGGAAGATGGGAAACAGATTTTTCTGAAACAATAACAACTTTCGTCTCCCATAATTATTTCCATAGCAATAGATTTCAACAGCTGAATTTTCTTGACTAACAAAATGAGAAAAGTTAGTTCCCAAACTGTTCTAACAGCAGAAGCCAAAAAGACCATTAGAACCCAGTCAGAAAACGCAGAAATTGGCTACATCTCTTCAAGCTCTCTAACTCCGCCTCCTGTTTCCAAAGGCTCATTTGCCAGACAACAGACAAGAAGACCTTTTTGGAATTCCTGATCTGTTTGAAAAACCTACTGCTCGCCACATGTAAACTTCTCTGTATGCCTGTACAAAAGCCATTAAGAATACTCCTGGTCCTTGAAGTCCTAACAAGAGCAGCAAGAGCTTGTTTCCGATGCTGAAGAATCTGCGAAAATTAATAACTTAGCAGTTTAAAAACAAAAAAGACCACGAAACTGATTTTAAATACGCAAGAACACAGTCAGTAACATTACTGTTTTCATATCTGACATCAAAGACTGATATAAGCTGAATCACCTCTATGATTCACCTGTTTCAGAGAAAAATACAATCTGACAGGATCCTGGAAAGGGTCTAGCTGTCTCTGTTAGGTACCTTGTCTAACTGAGACACTTCCAGCCAGACTAGCAGCTTTTATATGGAAGTAAAAAAACCAATTTGCCACTGAACAGAAACATGCTTAGTGGTATTATTAAACCTTTCACCTTATCAGAATTTGTGGTATAATACTGATTCCCATAAAAACAACTGCTTTTCCAAATCCTCCTTTCCTTTTATGGGTGTTTGCAGCCTTTTTCTCTTAAAGTAGTTGGTTATGCTCAAATTTTTTTTTCTTTTTAATTTTGAAATCCGTGCTACTTGAAGGATACAGGCACCATTACCAGTAATTTTCTTGCAGTTCAGCAACAGCAGATTCAGAATTTCTTCTATGTTGCACTGTTACAGAACATTTTGAGATGTTCTAAACTATTGCAGGTCAGAGTATTTAGGCAAAAATAAAAAGCAAACCACACCCCACACCACCACTCCTCTGCAGGAAGAGATGTTCTCTAAACAGCACTATTTTAAACTTCAACTTTCAAAATAAGTCACACGTCACTAAGGCCTTTCTTTGGATTCTGTGTTGTATCTGCTCACTTCTGCTGACCGCAAGAAGTTTTAACTGTGGTCGGCCTTGCAGCTGTTTATGTTTCCAATTGTTTCCCACACATCGAAGGGAATTACTGAGGAATCTAAAGCCTATTGCTCAAATATAATGACCTCAACTGAAGTGAAGAAACCCCACCATAGCTTGAGTAGATTAAAAATAAAACACACTCCTGTGTAACTAATTCCAATCAACAAACTAGGCAAAAATGACGCAGGCAAGCAAAAACGACACCCAACGACACTACGAGGATTTTTGCTTGTTTTGAAGTGACTTTTCCCACTTCTCTCATGTGACCTTATAATTCTTCTCGTGCCAGCTGTTCTCAGGGCATTCCTTGACAACACTGACTTGGTGCTCGGGACATTCAGCGCCCGGTGTGTTAGGAAGTGAGTCTTCGTTCCCCCAGCAAACATTAAAACCACAGCTGGTAGGAACTGAGAACGTACACGTGTGTTGCACGCACAGGAACACACCAGCACACAGACACACGCTTTCACACTTCTTTTCAGTGTACTGGAAACCCACCGTATCCCCCTGCTTGGATGGGTGTTTTTGGAGAAGCACAAGCATATAGACTAAAATCCTCTGTCTGGAAGCCAGCCCGGTTTAATGAGGGCTCAGATGCACTGCGGTGAATTTTTGGCAACGACCGGGCCAGAAGCTCAATGGAGGCAAGAATCTGAAACGAGCAGAAAATAAATGATCAGATCTGTTGTTCCAAAGTTGTAACAGTCTCTTAAAACCAAAGGCAGAACATCAATTAACTGCAGAAAAATATTTATGCACAAATTTAAACAGAAATTTCTAAAAATAGGTTACTGCATTGCACTCTGATGTTGACATCCTCAAAAAGCTGAAAAGGACATTTTGGGAAGAAACAGTCTTGTTTTCCCCTTTAAAAGGGCATAACGATTTCCCTCTGTAAGTGTAATGAATCCAGTTGCCTTTTATTTGCCTCCCGATTTAGGCACTAGCCCCTGTACCTACCGTCAGGCACAGCTTCGGCAGCAGTTTCCTTAATGCCATTTCCCATAACGCCAAGAGGGGGAGCTCCTTAGTTTTTAAAAGCGCTTTTAAAAAAATTCTTTTTTCCACCAAGAATCTAAGGTTCCCCCCTCGAGCTTTTAGAACTCAAACCTGCCTCAGCAGGCATGATAAATCAAGTTTTGTGACAAAACTATCAGTTTCCCTTCATAGAGTTTGGAGAGAGCAAGGAGGGGGGTATAAAGATTTCTGAGAAAATACACAGCAAGTTCTAATCTGCGGTTATTAATCTCACTGTGTCCCAGTTGGAACTTTCTCCAATACATACATGCTTTACAACTAGACAAGGCATTTTAGTACCTGTTTTTTGAAACAAAAATGAACATTTCTAATTAAACGGCACTAACCAGGTACTGAAGCAGTACTTTTAGGGAAGTCATGCTATAGCACTAACCATAAATATTTTGAATGGGCCAGTTTTAATATCTGAATTGTGAAGTCTGCTGAGAACTAAAGAGGAACATTTCTCACCTGTGGGAAAAGGGGTCTCTCATCTCTTTTCTTTTTTAAGCACTCTGCCATTAGTCTCTTCATAGCTTTTGGACAGTTGCTCCGTACTTTGCTGAGGTCTGGAGATAGGTATCCTCGTCCCACCATAAAAATTATCTTTGTTTAAGGGGGAAAAAGATGAAAAGGGAAGAAGATGAGTCCATAACCAAAGAGTAACAAAAGATGAACATTTTGCTAGACCATTTTAGTCCCAGCATCAAGTTTTCTGCTCCCAGGAAACATTATCTGGTACTGGAAATGCCAAGTTTCTCAGAGTAATGCTTGCTAACCTATTCAGTAGAGAGCAAAAAATTAGATTTTTCCTCCTCCTCCTAAGAAAGATTTCTGTGAAACTTGAACACTAGTAAATGGTTACCCATTTATGGCAATAACCATCTAAGGAACGGTTCTTCGCTGTCAAAAACTGTTATGAAAACAAGAATAAGCAACACTGTGGCAGGATCAGAATGCTTAAAAATAAATATTCAGAAGGAATAGATATTCTGGTTTCTAATATAAGTCAACAGCAAGTTCACACTGAAAGGTATTTTAAGAAACACATGGATTTCAGATATTAAAACCCCTTACCTTCTGAGAACAAATTCCTTCATAAACTTTTCCACCACAAAAGCTTATTCTTGACATCTGACCACCTTCCCCACACCCCCCCCAAAAAAAACCATGAAAGAGAAAGAGAAACTGCCTCTCCTCTGCAGAAGAGGAGACAGGCTTGGCATTTTCACAGTAATTCCTTTAACATGGAAGGCTTTATATTTCACTTAAGGATAAAACTTAAGCACAAACACAAGTAAACTAATAGAAAGCAGGAAAGCAGAGCATAAATATGGTTAATGTTCTCTTGGATACATAAAAAATATCAAACGTCATCATGTCAAGCCAAGGTCAAATGCAATGTGGTTTGAGTACTGCAGTTGCACTGACACTAAAAAGCTCCTTCAAACCAGCTAATCAAAGATCCATTCAGGCTGCAGCAGCTAATCACTACCTTTTCTGAATACTCAGCCAGACCCAGCAGGTGTATCGTACCTTATATTTCATGAAATGCAACTGTTTCCCATCTCGACACTGGCAAAAATACCCAACAGAAAACCCCCACATCTCAAGCAAGCTATACATGTTATTTATGCTAACACAATCTTGGTCCTTTTTCAACTTTCTGATTCAGTCGCATCTGTGTTGGCATCAAGGGGGAGTATAAAACTGCCATATGGTTTCTTTAGAAATCCCCACGTGCTAGAGCAGCATTTCATAGTAAAGAGCTGTCTACCCTGTCCCTTACCTCTGCTGCAGTAAGAATTATCATCTAGAAGTTACTTTTTTCTAAATAATTACACTATTTAAGTTGAAATTATTCGAAATCCATCATTATTTATGTTTCCAATGCTCTCTTTACAAATAATACAGGGATTAAACTTTTGTTTTACACAGAGAAAAGAGAATTTCACTACCAGAACAGTCCTAGTCTGTCTAGAAAAATCTGGTAAGGTGAGAGAAGCACTCTGAGGCGTGACAAGAACGACGCTTTGCTCACCAAGCAGCTCAGCCGTGTCACAGTAGCTGACGTAGATGCACCAACAAAGAGCGAGCAGTACTTACGCCTTTTCAGACAACAGACGGGGAGTGACACAACTCAAGACATTAGATCCCGTTTTATACGTCTGGCTTCGCTTGCCATTTAAAATTTGTTTCAGCACTCAATTGGGAGCACCCACATCACTGGCTTCATCTTTCAAGTCTCAAAGAGCAAAAGTAAAAAAATGCCCAAATACTGCTTCCAGAAGGCTATATCCACCTGGTCAGGAATCTGGATATCTCCCTTTTTTCAAAAGGCAAAAATAATTTAAAAGAGGAAAAAAACCCCATAAACCTACACACACCAACAAAAAACCCCAACCAAAACCCACACCCAGGGGAGTCACTCCAAATTTGATGACCTGGGATGAATTATTCTGACAAAGACGGAAGCAACCTTACAAAATGGCATTCACAGCCGAATGTTGCTATGGTTGCAGTTCTCAAGTACTGACAGTTAAAAACAAGGGATGCGGGCACAGAAACAACATAAATATATCACCGCCCAGACATGCAGGGGTTTACACCGAAGATCTTGATGCACGGATACTATTTTCAGACCAGACAGAAATAATGAATCAGATATGCCTTCGTAAATGTGCCTCTCCTGCGGAGATACATTACAGGCATGCGGTATCATTTGACTTAAGGAATATTTGTTCACAATTAAGTAATCTTCTTACAGGATTCACACGCTTGGGGAAGTCATATACTCCATCAAGCAGGATTTGAGAAATGCTGATATCCTGAAATTCAATTAGATGGCGCATGCATTTCTCCAGACTGAAATGAACATAAAACATTCAGCGAGATGACTGCTGTTCCATATTGTCAATCCTGTTGCTGAGCTATTATTCAGTGCCAGGGGAGGGGGGTGGGAAGAGGAATAACTGAACATATGGAGGATCATTTTGCCTTTGCAGAACTGTTCTAAATGATTACTATTAAGTAACCTGCTCTCTCCCTAGTAAGTATCCTGGCAACCAGCTCAGAAGCTGAAAATCTATACTTGAAAAAAAACCAAACCAACCTCTAGAGAAATAAGTAAATCAGTGCTACGTGGCTGAAGCAGGTCTAGAAAATGCAAAAGCGGCATCTCATAACATCAGAATCAGAACCACAAACACACAAACCATCAGAATGTGCACGGCACGGCGCTGGATCGATCTTTGTTTCAGGCCACAGCTGACAAGGGCTGTCCATCCCTTCCCTTACCTGGTCCCTGTTGTTGATGTTTGAGTACGGCAACTGTCCGGTCATCAGCTCGTACAGAACAATGCCGAACGCATACACATCTGACTGAAAGCTATATGGGTTTTTATCCTGCATCCTGATAACTTCTGGTGCCTGTACCACAAAGGGAAAGAATGAGGTTTTTATTTCACCACATCGGGCTGCACTTCACATACCGGGAACAAAACATGGACTTGTCCAGAGTGTAACAGGTGCAAGGCCCACTCCTGCCTTCATAGGTTACCGGGTCCTCAGACAGACTGGATGTTGACATGGACCTCAAAATCAACTGGTTCTTTGTAGCTTGGTGATCCCTTCATTCCTCTATGACAGAACAAAATGACCTTGTCCAGGGCGACAAGCTATTCTGAAACTGCAACTATATCAACACTGAAAATAATGCCAACTAATGGAGCCTGCCCTTTTTTCAGGGAGAAAAGGAGAAAGCAGAGCTGCGTAGGAGGTCGTAACTGTATTTCTCACTAAGACTCATTTACTAAGTTGTGTGACCTCTTGAGAGTAACCATGATTGAATCCTTAAGAGCATCTTACTTTTGGCTGTGCTAGTTCTTCTACACCTTTACAGGATGGTTTTTTTCCATGGCTTTTCACACCTTCTCCTCAACCCTGGAGGAATCATACCCTTTTTCCTTAGCCACCATTTTCTTTTCCGTTTAAACCTCAGAGTAAGGGATGAAGACAATGAAGTATTTTTGCTGACTACTGAAAAAGATATGCTTAAAGAAGGACTGGAAAACATCCATTTAGTACTTCATACTCCTGCTTGTCTTTTCCAGCGTAAGACAGCTTGTATGTGTCAGTGTGCTGGAGGAAGTGTCTCAAAAACTTTGGCCAAAGGCAATTATATTTGCTGAAACAAACACACTACTTGCCCCTGGCTTACCATCCATAGAATAGATCCAGACAACTGTTCAAACTGATGGGATCCGCTCCATCGCGATTTCACTGTAGCTAGACCAAAGTCACCTATTTTTACTGTGAGGTCTTCATGAAGAAAAATATCTAAGGGGGAAACGTTAAGGGAAAACAAACAAGCAGTACAGGTCCTATCCTACACAAACGATAAATAGCTACAAATTTGCAACATTAGACATTTTAACCATCCACCACCACTGAGGCAAGTTTTCATATAATACAGGTTGTAAGCAGCCCTCATGGTGAGTTACGGTACTTGTGGGCCACATAAGTAATGACTGGGCCAGTGCTGAACAGGCTATGGGCCCAGGTGGCTTTCTTGAAATGCCAAGTACTTCCTTGAAATGCCAAGTACGAGAAGCTGAAAATATTCCATGAGTGAACTGGCATAATCATTCATTACATGTAGAAACCACATGTTTCAAAAATCTCTGCCCTAAAACACCAAAACTTGCTGCATTATTACAATCACATCGATAGACATAATAAATATTCCTTTCTTTGCTTACTTTGCTATATTACCCCTTCTCAACAAAATTTCAACTCCACAAATATCCACACATGAACAGCTTTTCACATCAGTAAGTTCATTTCTGGCAGAAAAAAAA